TCTCTAACTTAAGATTGCGGATAAAGGGATCTAATATACGGCATCTCTCCTAATTTAATAAATATTACAAAAATTAATATATAAACTAATAATAAATAAATAAATTATTATTAATAATTAAAATTAAAATAAAATTTAAAAATTTTATCGTATCAGCAAAATATATTGAGATATGATTTCCATCCAAACGAAGCAGATCACCTCCCATTTTATAATTGCAAAAAAAATTAATATAAAACAATTTAATAAAATACTAAAATATTAATTTATTAGAATATAGTATAATATATTACATTCTAAATAAAATTTGACCGAGTTTTAGCTTTAAGAGAGTTTGATTTTTGATATGGTTTGAGAGGATTTGAGAGGTTTTAAGAGGATTTGGTGTGGTGGAAATAGTAGAGAGGGGGTATTTATAGGTCGTGGGATGGGATTTGGGCGAATGAGTATCATTAATTGGGGGAGAGTGAACGGTTGAAAATTAAATGAAAGTCGCGGATGGTGATCCGCGCCTTTCTGGCGCGTGTGTCAGACTTGCAGTTTTTTTACTAAGGGTGTTAGATCGGTAATATTTTCTCTAACGGTGTCTGATAAGTAAAAAAAAAAGGTGATTTTTCGGTAAATACGCCTGGACACCATACGTTTCATTCTTGGTAGCATTGGATGCGGGCAGCGATCTGCTTTGAGTCCCGTGTGATTGCTTACAATGCGCTCCTTTGCCTGCCAGTTACTATAATTCACTGGTAACCTAAACAGTGTGCTCCCATTTTTCCCACTACTTTTTCTCTTCATTTTTACTTTTTATTTTTCTGTTTCAATTGTCATTGCTTAGTCTAGTATATGTTCATTTACTAATGGTTTCTATTGGTTCAGCTTTTCAACTGCTTTGCTTGTGATTTCCAGTTGCCTCTGTTTGGGTATTTATATTGTGAACTGTTTTGTCCTAGGTTTAATAATGAGGGGAATAGATAGCTTCAGTTATAGAAGCAGATATAGTTATTTTTCTTGTTAGAATGACTTCTAACTTCACTTTGATTACAAGCATTGATTATAGAAGGTTGGATAAGCATTTTCCTTAAAGATGAAGCGATTTGCGTTTAATAAATTTGAAACTGAATTTGCTCAAGCAAACAAATATTCTGCCTATTAACTGTCACGATGCTTTGCGTAACTTCTTTTACAGTTTTGAGGGGGAGGTGAAACTTTAAATGGAAGAGAGTACTATTTCTTTCTGACTACTCTTCAACAAGACTTAACCTGATTGCTTCCTTGACCGTGGACTAATTACGCTAAGAACTGTAGTTGGTTACCGGTTAAGCATTTTAATTCCAATGATTGATTGGCAGGTGCTCCCACATACCTGGGGCATCTATTGTGCAGGATAAAGATCTTAGTGAGTATACCCCATCTTTGTCAAAGAGTAGCAAAAACCTGTCCTGCAGCCATGGGTTATGTGAGTCAAGTTTATACTGCAAAGGACCGAATGATCCCTGCCCTTACATTATTGAATATGACTCAGTTAATACCTCAAGTTCTGGATATCTTGTTGAGGATTAATTGCATTTGAAGTCATTTATTGACCATGTAATGGAGAGTTATGTACAAGCATCAGTCATAATAGGGTATGTCTTGATTGTTCTTGATGTTATTTGTTATTTGTTCTTTGTTTTTTGTTTGTCTTTGGCCAAAGATGTATGTGACCTGATATGGTCAAATTTGTTGTCTTGCTCATATTTCTCAACTGTGTTGCTTCCCTGTTTCACTTCATTTCAATTCAGCTGTGGGAGAAAGCAGAGTGGTGGCTACCTGGATGGTGCTGCACCTGATGGTCTAATGGGATTAGGACCTGGAAATGTTTCAGTCTCAAGTTTGCTGGCTAAAGCAGGATTGATTCAGAACTCGTTCTCGATTTGTTTAGATGAGACTGGTTCTGGAAGAATTTATTTTGGTGACAAAGGGATTCCTTCCCAACAATCTACTCCATTTTTACCAATAGGAGGAAACTAGTACGTGTAACCCTTTGTCATGTTCTTTTTGTTTGCTTAAATAAGAAAAGGCTCTTCTTTTATCCATCATTATACTTTGCTGCTACAGGATTGGTGGTGAAAGGTCTAATTTTCTTTTTAATAATTGTTTCACTGAAAAATATTTTGTACGAGTGGAGCATCTGTGTTGGGAACTCTTGTCTCAATAAATCTGGATTCTTAGCGCTCGTGGATAGTGGGTCGTCTTTCACATATCTACCTCCTGAAATCTATGATAAAGTTGTTCCGGAGGTGCTTCTTTTTGTGCTTATCATCAATATAGGAATTATTGTTTTCATTTGTTATTGGGAGGAAATGTTTTAATTGTTTCCTTTGTTATAGTTTGAGAAACAAGTAAAAGCCAGAAGGATTAGCGGCCATGATGATCTTTGGAAGTACTTTATAATACCAGCCTTGTCAGGTTGGATATTGGGCAATATTTGAGAGGTTTGGAAGCCTTTCTTCTTTTCTTTGTACTGACCGTCTGCTGTTTCTTTCCTTGAAGCAGATCAGAGGAGCCATTCAATATTTCTGGAATGAGACTTAAATTTGCTACGAGCCAGAGTTTTGAAATTCATAATTACATATATTCCTATACAGACACTGAGGTTAGTCTTATTTTCTTTTCTACACTAAACCTGAGAAACTGTTTGAAAGGATACAATGAAATTCTTCTCTTTCTTTCCTCTTCTTAGATGTGTGCAACTTAAATTGTGCTTGTGTCATATCTTGTTGCAATTTCTTTGTAATCACCTTTCTCAGTTTGTTTTTTTTCTTGTTATGGTATGATGGGAAAAGAAAACTCATTCAGCCGGCTCTCTTTAGAGGCCAGCTTGAGGTCCTTAAGTATATAATCAACTTCCCCAAGAACTTCACAGTACTTCCTTTGATGCCATTGACAAATTCAACTAATTAGTTTTTTATTCTTTTCATTTGTTAATATCTTTTAGATTTTGGTTTCCGAGTATACTCTAGGCAGCTCATAAAATTTTATCTTTTTCGAAGGAAACGTAAATTGTCTTGACATTGTTGAGCAGGTTTTTATACAGTATTCTGTCTAACTGTTTTACGTGGAGAAGATGAATTTGGTGTCATCGGATGTGAGTCAATTCTCTGTCTTTTGAATGTTCTTGCATTGTTTTATAGTTTTGCAATCTTCTAGCCTGGCTGTGTGCATATTTTAATGACACTGGAAGAAAAAATGTGTTGCAGAAAACTTCATGACAGGCCATCACATTGTTTTTGATCGTGAAAATATGAAGTTGGGTTGGTCGCGTTCCAACTGTAAGTATTAGAGTAGATCTTTCTACCTTTGTCTATTTTCTATATATTGCGTCTTGTTTATTTATTTTTGGTTTATTTGTCTAGTTTTTGTAACTGATTAGTTACAAGGCGTAAGAGTGGAAATTAGTAAGATTTCAGAAAGAAGCTGGAGCACTGTTAAGCCTAGCTTTGTGAATCCAATAGTATTTTCTATAATGACGAAGATATATGTATTATATTTATATCTTGCTTCTTGTTTCCCCAAACATCCGGTATTGATAAAATGTTCTGGTGAGAAGCAACACTAGAGTTTCCCTATGCTTCAGTTTTGCCACTTTAAATCTTTCATTATGCAAAAGCAAACGTTCTTTGTTACAGAAGTAAATTGGAAATTGCATGGGCAGTGAAGACGTGAGTGACAAAGCAAGCGTACATGTGGCACCACCTCCCAGCAGTGATATCTCAGATTCCATTGCCGACGAATGAGCAACAACACAACAATAATACTGATGCTGTTGCTCCAGCAGTCGCAGGAAGGGCTTCCACTAAGCCTTCTTCGGCTTCGCCACTCCAAATTCCCACCCTGCTCTGCATATTCACTTCCTAGTGTTGCTCCAGCAGTTGCTGCATAATCATTTCTCATGTAAATCCTATTAATTCTTGTCAGCTTTCCCAAATCACGAACATCGTACCATTTTTTCTTTTTCTTTTAATTTTAAGGATTTGGATTCATTGTAAAAGCTTTTTTTTTCCTGGTAAATCTAAGTTGGACATATTTTAGTTGAGTGAAAAAGAAGTGCAAGAAGTTTCTGCATGAGCGGAGAGTCATTTTCAAGATCTTGTAAAATATTCAATCAAGATTACAACAGGAGCATGTTGTCTGTTGATGTGATTTGATATTATTCAAAAGGAACTTTTTAATATTGAGTTTTATAATTTAAAACGTCAAATGTGATGATTGTTCGAAAGTAGAGGTGGACTGTGTTGATGTTAACATAAAACTTACCCTACTTCATTCACAATTAGATTTGGATACATAAAATAAAAGGTGGAAATTTAAAAAAACAAAGCCTTAAAAGTTTGCTGCCACCTGTCCATTTTCAGCTTCGCTTAATTTAAAGTTTTTCGATGTTAAATCAACCTTTTCCTACAGTCTCACCTATCCGCCAAAATCATAATAATTTGTGAAGTGGAAGTGGGTTATGGATATCACCCAACAAGTTTTTCCATAGCAAACCCCACTTTGAATCTTCCATATCCACGTGTCCCTCTGGTCTTCCTCGTACGTGGCAACTTCTGATGTCATTCAGAGGACAATCCTCCATTATTGAATACATTGATTGGAAGAACCAACATGAAAAAGAAGTTTTCCCTATTCAATGCATGGGTTTGTATTTTAATTCGCTAAAGACGTATAGTAAATTGAATTATTATTATTTAAACAAAATGAAACTTTTATTTTTAAACTTAAAAAATAGTTATGAAATATTTCGTTTTCTATATTTTTTAAATTTTTTCCATATAAAAAATGAGTTAAAGAAGTTTCTGGGAGAACCCATTTCCTAGTATCATAGTAGTGAAATTAAATTAAAGTCATCTCAAACAAACTATTTTGATTCTAAATTTGTTTTAAATATAAGGACGCGTTAACTTTCGTCACTATAAAACCCATAGAAGCTAGTGACGAACCGCTACCTTCCTCCTCTCGAGTCTTTACTATTTCAGACCAAACAAACAAAAGTGTGGAGTACTCATTCTCTTCAACCAAACTCCATTAAATCCATCTCTTTACTTGCTGAGATCAACATATATACACACACTCTTCATTCTGAAGCTGTATCCGAGTGAACGCAAAATGGGAGTGGAAGGAACCTTGGATTACATCTCTGATTTGCTTAGCAACATGAAGAAGAAAAAGAAAAAGCAGACTCAAACCGTAGCTCTCAAAATTAGGATGGATTGTGAAGGTTGTGCCCGTAAGGTCAAGAAGGTGCTCTCCGGAGTTAAGGGTAATTATGATATAGTTCACTTGAATCATTTTGATTCTAGTATAGTGATAGTTTCATTTCCTTTTTTCTGTTTCTTTTATATTGGTTAAACATTTGTTTTGATTTTGGTTTTGCAGGAGCTAAGTCTGTGGACGTGGACTTGAAGCAGCAAAAGGCGACGGTGACGGGTTACGTGGAGCCGAAGAAAGTGCTGGCGGCGGCTCAGACGACCAAGAAGAAGGTGGAGTTGTGGCCTTATGTGCCGTACACGATGGTGGCAAACCCTTACGTGGCTCAAGCTTATGACAAGAAGGCACCACCTAATCACGTGAGGAAGGTTGCTGACCCTTCTAAAATCACTGAGACCACCTTGGACTACCGCTACTCCATCATGTTCAGTGACGAAAACCCTAATGCTTGTTCCGTCATGTAAGAACAAATAAGAACTATCAATATATAAGTGGATTAATGTAAAGTTTTCATTTGCAATATCTTAATCTCGATAAACCTTTGCATTAAACTTTGTGAAAACTTCAAAAAAAAAACTTTTTTTCTTAGAGAATAATTTATGCCATGATTTGAGCAAATGGGGAGTTATGCTGCAACTTTTTATTCGATGTCTTTGACATTTTTTCCTCTTCTAAAATAAAAAAAAATTATTCATCACAACAATCTTTTAACCATAATAAAACTGTTAAATACTAACTAAATTGATATAATTATTATTATAATAAAAATATTGAATTAAATTTAAAATAAATTATATTAATAGTCATTAATATTTGAAAAAATACAACAATGGGCCAAAGAAGGCAACATGAAGACGACGACAAATAAGGCACAACCAAAATACAAGAGACCGGGGCAAAAACGAAAAGGTGATCACGTCATATAGAGAGTATCAATCAACACAATCGTGAACGACACATGGAGCAGCAAAACCATAGTATAAAAATCAAAGCAATAACACGAGAATCACAGAAAGCGGACCCCAACCACACGAGGGAACCTCCTAAAATAATACCACAAATAACATAAGACCACCCGAGGAGGCAAATACGCTAACTGGGTTACTTCTTTTTATATAGGTTTAATGATAATGTCAAGGGCCACACAATAAGGTTTGAGGCATTGACACATGAGTCTGGTAAAGAGGTTGGATTTGGGGAATCGGGCTTGTCAAAATCACTAGACTTGGTTATCACTTGGAGAATGCTAGAGAGCCTGTTCACATTGGCCGTGCAAACATGGAAAGTGAAGATGATCATGGGAGCTCGATAATTATGGTAAGAGACAACAAATCAATAGAGAAATTGGAGGATTCTTACCATATCCAGAAATTGGAGGATTCTTACCATATCCAGTGTGAACGCTTATAGAAGGAAAGAATCCTACTAATTGATGTAATTAGGTAGGATGGGATTAAGTTTCCTTAGTTAAGAGAAGATCTTATAGATACAATTCCTTGATGTGGTGGATTTAAGAGATTGTATTCGATCTAGGTCGTTGATGTAAATCGATCCTAGCCATTGATTGTGAGAGAGCTCAACTATAAATAGAGAGCATCGCCTACTCATTTATATCATTCAGAATCATTCTTCCACTCCCACTTTGGGAGAAGAGTAAATAAAAGCTCTACGGCATTTGCTCTAAGTTCTATTGTCTCATTTCAGTTGTTCTGAGTTATTCTTTATTCTCTTTGTGTTCGTTGCCACTCTAGGTGGCTAAGTGTAGCCTTCTCGGTGTTTACGCTTCCGCACGAGTGTTATACTTTGGTGGCCTTAGCGGCCCTATTGGGTTAAAGCTTCTGCATCCTTTTGAAGTATTGAGGACTTCGTGTCATCCTTTGTCGAGATAGTGTGCTCTTAAGGCGTGGTGTAAGGCTTACTTAGGTGTAGAACCGACCAAGTACCGTAATTGAGCGTTTAAGGCCGCACGTTTTAGAGGTCCAAGGGCGTGACAATCGCAAGTTTTCGAGTTAGAGTCTTTGTGTGTGTGATAGGTGGTATCAGAGCGAGTCATTGTGATGAGACAACGAGCGTTCGAGTGTGATCTATGGAAGTGGTAAACCAAGTAAGTTGAATTTACTTCCTATTTATCCAAACTTACTATTTTGTTAAGTGTGGCAAGGCTTTGCGTTTGAGGTAGTCAAGAGAGATTGAGCTAGTTCGTGACAAAAAGTGAGAGATGGGGCACAAGAAAAAAAGAGTTTTTGCACGTAAAGGCAAAGAGAGCCATGGTAGGAAACGAGAGGAGAGTCCGATGGGCTCAAGATTCGCTTATGAAGACGATGAGAGTCTTGATGGGGAACAATAAGAGAGTCTGACAATAGACGAGAGATGCACTTATTTGATGGAATGTTTAACTTTTCACGCGGAGAGACTCATCAGTTGGAGGAGTCCAACAGACCTATCAAGAAGAGCATTCAAAAGTTCCTTAATGAGTTGGGTGAAAAGACTATCCAAGTTGGTGATTCTGTTAGGGTCGAAGTGTTGGCCATATGAAGAGTCTCAACATCGTTGGATAAGATGACTGATAAACTTAAGGAATCCATAGAGAGGACCAAGGAGGCCCAGGGTGTTGGAGAGTCCCGACTTGATAAGGTGGAGTCCATGGAGGATAAGTTCAATGAAGAGATGCAATGGGTTCTCAATGAGTTGGAGACATTCGAAGGAGATGTCAAGAACATTGAAAAGGAGGGTCGATAGCCCTGATGATTCAATGGGAGAAGCCAAAGAGACTCATGGTATTGTGTAATCCCATTTTGGCAAGTTAGAGTGCGTGGAGGATCGGATCAAGGATGATACTTAACGTGTTCTCAACAAGGTAGAGACATTCGAGGGAGTAATGCCAAATGAAGCCGAGGTAAAGGCTTTGAGAGTCGAGATAGAAGAGATCAAGAAGAAGCTGCTCACATATAAAGGAGCAATAGGTGAACGTGGAATGCTCAAGGTCTTCTTGGAAGAACTTAGACTAGGGATGATGCTCGGGGTAGAGCATGGAGATGCCCAGAAACTTTAAAAAGTCATAGTTGTAGCCGAGAAGCTGGCCGAGCTTGCAGGAGTCAAGCCAATTAGCATTGGGTCGTCCATGCCCATGCCCAGGGATTATGGCAATAGTGGGGGAGACCAGGAAATTGTGCAGCAGAGAGATGGCTAGTAAAGCTCTAATAGTGGTAGGGAAGTGCCACTGACTGATTGTAGCTATGAGAAGCCATCGGGAAAGCATAGTATAGCTGAGTCCATTGTGGAGAAGAATTTGAGTAAAAAGGAAATCAAATGCTACTTCTGTGATGGTACCCATGTGATAAGGGGATGTCCCGAGAACAATCGCATTATTGCCATCATGAATAGGATGGGAGAAGGGGAAATAGAGGGAATTGGCGCGGTTGCAAGTGTTAAAGATGCCAAGCCAAGGAAAAGACTTGGTCCAATTGAGGGGGTCAATACGGCCAAGAAATGAACAATACGAGGTGTGACTGCGGATATTAAGGCAACCGAACCCAAAGAGAAGTCCGATGCGGTTACGAGTGTCCAAGCAATCAAGTTAGGAAAAGGACTTGATAAGGCTACATATTCCAAAATAGCTGAATCAAGGAGGAAGCATGGTGCGACAACAAGTTCTCAAGTAGTAAACACGAGATCGAGACGTGGCAAGATTGTGGGTGTCAAAGTAGTCGAGCATGGAGGAAAACTCAGTACGATAACAAAGGACAAAACCATCAAGTCGTGGGTAAGGAAGGAGCATTTGAAATACTACTGATGTAAATGGCCACATAAGTTGTGAAGGTTCCCAGATCAATCAAGCTATCCAAGGAGAAGGATGAGGATGAGAGTAACGAGCCTATCAGTCTTGGAATGATGGTGTTTGCCAAGGAAAATGGGAGCCAAGTGCAAAGAAGGTTGACGGTGTCCGGGAATGCTATTAGAGATCTTGCCAAACATGTTCATGGGGGAGAATATGGCTTCAAAGACCTTCATTGGAAAAGGGTCAAAAGAGAAGCTTCCCGAGGGTGTTTAAGCGGAGAAGAACATCCCTTCAAAGGCCATGACTAAGGGAGGGTCGAAGAAAAAGCTTGTCGAGGATGTTCGGGAAGAACATTCCTTCTGAGACGATGAGCCAAAGGTCGAAGGGGGTAAAGCCATCGAGCGACAAAGCAACTATGAAGAGACCATCCATGGGCAAGGTGGGTTTTGAACAAATGAATTCAAGTGGGAAGTTCCAATGCAAGGACAAGTGACGAACTTTGAATAATAAGGGTCGAAGCAAAAGGGGCATGAAACTTTGCAAAAGGAGAATCGATGCCAAAAGGGAATACCAAACTTTGAGTTAGAGGGATGAATGCATCGAGTGCCATCAAACTTCAAGGGAGAAGAGTCGACGCACAATGGAGCAAATAACTTCAATGAAGGGAGTTCAATGCATGGGGTGGCAAACTTCATGAAGAAAGAAGGGATGCCATATTTTAGAGCAACTGCCAACATAGAGGGGCATGTACATCTTGAACAAAATCCTTGTGTTTTTTAAACTGATTTGCGATATTAAGTGGGTGTAGGTTGAGTAAGACCTAACATTCGTTGTAGAGGAAACAAACCTTGGGAGGGACCTTTCAGAGTTCTAAAACCGGAGTTACCGATGAGTATGAGAGTTCTCCCGGTGTTTAATGTTGTGGAACGTCCAAGACTTCTCCGCGAGAACAAGGGAGTCCAAGGCGAGGCGAATCAAGTTTGGTAGGGGGATGCTCTTACGGTGAAGATATACCTGAGGGTGTTTTAGCCCACAACAGCAAGTGGAGGCAAGAACCGAAGCGAGCATCCCGTATGAGAGGCCAAGTCCTTATGGGGGACACGAGCGAGCTGAGGTGTCAAGCAACCAAGTTGATGCGAGAAAAGGCGTAAATGATCATAGAGTTACATGGAGACATGAGTCGAGGCAAGCAATTCAAATAAAGGAACCACAATGAGCCAAGGCATTGGGAAGTACCCAAGGTGAAGGAGGCTAAAATCGATCGAGTGCAGCATTGAGCATGTCGCCAAGTTCAGTGGGGGAGAATGTCACGGACTGCGCAATAAGGTCCAAGACATTGGCACATGGGTCTGCCAAAGAGGTTGGATTTGGGGAATCGAGCTTGCCAATACCACCAGACTTGGCCCATCACTTAGAGAATGCTAGAGAGCCCGTTCACATTTGCCGTGCAAACATGGAAAGTGAAGATGATCATGAGAGCTCAGTAATTATGGCAAGAGATAACAAATCAATAGAGATTGTAGAGGATTCTTACCATATCCAATGTGAACACTTATCGAAGAAAAGAATCTTACTAATTGATATAATTAGGTAGGATGGGATTGAGTTTTCTTAGTTAATAGAAGATCTTATAGATACAATTTCTTGATTTGGGGGATTTAGGAGATTGTATTCGATTTGGGTCGTTGATGTAAATCGACCCTACCCA